GGTGAGTTCCTTATAGATTTTGGATATTAACCCTTTATCTGATATGTCATTTGCAACTATCTTTTCCCATTCTGTTGGTTGCCTATTAGTTTTGTGGGTTGTTTCCTTTGCTATGCAGAAGCTTTTAATCTTGATGACTTCCCAATCGTTTATTTTTGCTCTTGATTCCCTTGCTTTTGGGGATGTGTCAAGTAAGAAGTTGCTGCGGTGGAGGTCAAAGAGGTTGTTTCCTGCTTTCTCCTCTAGGGTGTTGATAGTTTCCTGTCTCCCGTTCAGGTCCTTTATCCATTTTGAGTTGATTTTTGTGCATGGTGTGAGAAAATGATCTAGTATCATTCTTCTGCATGTTGCTGTCCAGTTCTCCCAACACCATCTGTTAAAAAGGCTGTCTTTTTTCCATTGGATATTCTTTCCTGCTTTGTCAAAGATTAGTTGGCTGGATACCGTTGGGTCCACTTCTGAGTTCTCGATTCTGTTCCATTGGTCTATGTGTCTGTTGTTGTGCCAAGTATTATTTCCTTTAACTTATGCTTTCACTCACCATATAAAAAGGGCTAATTCTTACTTTGCAATTTCCCATTCAGAGCTACTGAAGTCCCTTTTTCTGTTAACTACATCAAAAAGGAAAAATGTCCCTTCCACAATTCTGCCCTGGGCTCTGTCCACAATCACTGTATAATAAAATACACGGGACTCTATAAGCTTACCTCTTTTGATAATTCACTTCTTTCTTTAGCTTGAGTTATGTGAGAGGCTTCAAGAATTTCATATTTTCTCCTTAACTCAATTATTTCCTGTTCAAGTGCATCGCGCTCACTATGAAATTCAAATACACTTATTAAATACAGTGTATTAAATTCAAATACACTTATTAAAATAAAATTCAAATACATATGTATTTATATCACATTTTATAATCAACATTTAAAATAGGCTGTGGGTGTTGGGTGTTGGCTCTGTTGTTAAGCATCTGACTTGGGCTCAGGTCATGATCTCACGATTTGTGAGTTGAACCCCTCATCGGGTGAGCTCATGCCCTGCTTCAGGTGAGCATGAGCCCCGCTTCAGGTGAACACGAGCTCTGCTTTGGGTGAGCACAAGCCCCACTTCAGGTAGGCCCTGCTTCTCTTTCTCTCTCTCTGCCCCTCACTCACTTGAGCTCTCAAAAACAAAACAAAACATAACAAAAACATAAGGGGCTGATTTATGTTTCAGGAAATCAAAGAGAGATACCAGCAGTGGGGCTTTAGTCCATTCTATGAACAATAAAGTATCTGCTTTTCAAATCAGGAAACTCTGTTCAAGACTGTTCAGATATATAAATATAAATTTATTATCTTTAAAAAAATAAATACGTAAACTACACTTGCCAGTAAAATACATAATAAAACCTTTTAAGGTACACTGTGGTATCTTTTCACTAATCATAATCAATCTTATCTTGAAACCAAAATTTTTAAAGAATTTATATGTGACTCTAGACTTTCAGTTCAATTAGCATCAAAAAGCCTTAACTCATCACTCAATTGGATAGCAGATACAAAAGGAGGCATTCTTGTGACTATTTCATTCACAAATTGTTTACGATTGCCCTGAGATTCTAATTTCCATTCGCAGACAAGCTCTTGACCCAAAACAGTGAAACCAAGAATTAGAACAAACCTATAGCAGGTGTCTTAAAAAATGAGCAGAAATATAGACTAACTCTTAATTTTTTCTCTCTAGTCAGAATCAGTTCCTTTGTACTTCATATATTTCATCCACCTGTCTACCCACCTGGTATTTGGATGTAGATGGCTGTTAAGAATTGTTTTTTTTTTTCATTAGATTTTTAAAACTGGCTTAAAAAGGTATTTTTCCTCTGGTTAACAAAGTCATGTTTATTGAAGAAATGTAAGCAAAACACAAGTTATAAAATAACAATCATCCATAAACCCACTAACTAAAGATGACTGACAATATCAATATTTTGGTGCACATTAAGTGTTTTTGTGTGTTTACATTAAATGTATTCTCACATGGTACTGATCACACTTCCTTTGCTATGATTTTTCAATGTAAAAAATAAGCACAAAGCAGGATATAGCAAAACATCCATGATCTCTCTATCCATAGCTGAAACAGTTAACATTGGTCTACATTTGAATTAAAGTTTTATTTTGGTTTTTAAAAAGATAAGACACTATGGTAAACTTAAAGTTCCCTACATGTTCCTAACTGTTCCTTCATCATCCCCTAGGTACAATGATAAATTTAGTGTCTCCATATTGCTTTTGAAATACTTTTATTTAGGGTGCCTGGGTGGCTCAGTCTATTAAGCATTGGGCTCTTGGTTTCAGTTCAGGTCATGATCTCAGGGTTCACAAGTTTGAGCACTGTGTTAGACTCCGCCACTGACAGTGCAGACCCTGCTTGGGATTTTTCTCTCCTCCTCTCTCTGCCTCTCCCCTGCTTGCTCTCTTTAAAAATAAATAAATAAACTTAAAAAAAGATAACATACTTTTATTTACCAAATGTTAACATTTATCATATTTACTTTGTAATATTTACTGAACATTACTTTCTCATATTTATTGTCTCCCTGTTGTTCATATATGTGAATATGTATACATGCATATACATGTATACATACCTATACATACACACAGACACGTGTGCAATTTTCCCCCTTAACTATTTAAGAAATATATGCAGACATTAAATCCCTTTATCCCTAAATAACTTGGTGTGAATTTTTTAAAAAATATTTTTATTTATTTCTAGGAGAGAGAGAGAGAGACAGCGTGAGCAGGGGAGGGTCAGAGAGAGAGGGAGATACAGACTCTGAAATAGGCTCCAGGCTCTGAGCTGGCAGTCAGCACAGAGCCTGACGCGGGGCCCGAACCCACGAACTGCGAGATCATGACCTAAGCGAAAGTCGGACGCTTAACCGACTAAGTCACCCAGGCGCCCCTGGTGTGAATTTTTTAAGATTAAAAAATTCTTTTATATAATCCTAATATAATTAGCTCTAATACAATATCTAATATATAATCCATTTTCTAATTTTTGTCAATTGTCCCAATTGGCATTTTTCCTGTATAGGATCCAATGGATTATCATGCACTGCATTCAGACGCCATGTATCTTTAGTCTCCATTAACCATGAACAGTTTCTTAGTCAACATTGTAAAAGACAGAGAAAGGTTATTTGGCCAATTGTTTTAGGTCACTCAATTATCATTTGTTTGATATTTGTCCCTATAATTAGATTCAGGTTAAGTTTTTAGGGCTGAAACACTACACTTGTGTTGTCAGTATGTCACATAAAGAGTACATAAAGCCTTACTATACAGACAGGCACATGAAGAGTACATAAAGCCTTAGTACACAAAGCAGCCATGATGTCATTATATCCTATGACGGATGAAAATAACCTTAGTAACCTGTTTAAGGTGGTATCTGCCAAAATTCTCAAATATAGAAGTACTTTTTTGTCCTCTGCAATTAATAAGTAACCTGTGGGAAACATAGTTTGAGAATATATATATATATAATTTTATTTTGAGAATAATTTTATTCTGAGAATTATTTTATTTTGAGAATATATATATATATATATATATATATACACACATATAATTTTACCAAATGGTTTTAGCCTCCACTGATGATTCTGAATCAAACAGTATTGAGGTTAGAAAGTGGTTAATTATAATATGTATATATATTTATTGGTTGTCATTCTACCGTAAAAATTCCTTTTATTTATTATTAGCATGTACTCAGGGTTCTTATTTCAGTCAACAAATTATACTCATTATTGTTAGTATTCATTTTGATACTCAAGTTGTACGACATTTGGACAGTTGAAGCCCCTTCAATCAGCTACTATGGTACTTGATTGGAATTAGAGGTTTAAGTAGGATCTGATGGTCTTATCCATAGTGTGTTAAAGCCATCCTCCCTACTCCCTCTCTTATCACCTCTCTTTACTGAAAGGGCTAAGAAACAATGACCAATATAGCATATACATCATATATGACCAGCACCCAAATCTTAATTTCTAAATAGTATTCCCTGCTAAAAGGAATCAGGACTCATTAGATGACGCACTGAGGCAATGAAATTAGAAAATAAACCTGGGAAAATTATATCATGCCAGAAAGTAAAAAACTGCTTTAAACAAAAGGTGGGCACATCTTTTTTAAAATTAAAAAAATTAGGGCGCCTGGGTGGCTCAGTCAGACATCCGACTCTTGGTTTCAGCTTGGGTCATGATCGCATGGTTTGTAAGTTTGAGAACATCGGGCTCTGCACTGACAGTGCAGTGTCTGCTTGGGTTCTTTCTCTCCCATTCTTTCTCTGTCTCTCACCTGCTCTCTCTCTCTCTAAATGAATAAACTTAACTTTTTTTTAATTTAAAATTTTTAAGAAGATGGATACACTTTTTTTTTTTTAATATTTTTATTTATTTCTAGGAGAGAGAGAGAGACAGCGTGAGCAGGGGAGGGTCAGAGAGAGAGGGAGTCACAGACTGAAACAGGCTCCAGGCTCTGAGCTGGCAGTCAGCACAGAGCCTGACGCGGGGCTCGAACCCACGAACCGCGAGATCATGACCTAAACGATAGTCGGACGCTTAACCGACTAAGCCACCCAGGCGCCCCAGATACACTTTTTAAAATACAGTATTCTGTGTCTGATTTATCCACATAGATACACCCAGATTGAGTTTAATGATTTTAACTGCTACACTGAATTACATTGTAGAATAAATCATAAATGATTTCCCATTCTGCTACTGAAAAGCATCTAAATTCTTTCTGATCTAATTATAATTAACATCCACGTTCCTGTTTCCTTTTGCACATGTGTAAAAACTTATCAGGGATATAAAAGTGATTTTTCCACTTAGTTTATCTTATATTTTTGTAATCAGAACATTTCTTTAAACTCTTTATTCTATTGAGTGAAATGAAGAGTTCACAGTTTGAGCCCCTCTTGTTTGTTTTTCTGTTCTATTTCTAGCACATAAAGATGTTTATGATGTTTTTGATGAGGGCTATATTTTTCCTTCCTACATTTTTATTATGGAAATAAAACATATATATAAATAGATATGATACAATGAACTGCCTTGCTCTCATCGCCTGGCTTCAATAATTATCAATCATTATCATGACTCATCTTTGTTCATTTATCCTTCATTCACTCTGATTATTCTGATGATTCGGCTTTTTAGTTTTCTCTTTTCATGTTTTATCTAATACTGCTAAGATTTATAGTAAGATAAGTCAAAGAATTATCTTACCATCACAATCTACTTACTTTTGAAATAATTCTTTCAAAAACCTAGCTTTTTAAAGAGCCACTGATTTCAAGCTCCAATAATTACCATATTTTAATATTATATACACATATATATTTAACATAATAATTACCATATTTTAACATTAATCCATATATGATAATACACACAGCATGTCAGTCATGCTGGGAGTAGGAGTACCAATCTGCTCCTTGAAATCTATGTTGTTATATAATTTTTAAAGCTTCAATTCATTTAATAAATATTAATTAAGTGACTACTGTATTTCAAGAATCATTTTAGGTGCAGGTAGAGACAGCAGTGAACGATTAGAATAATGTCTCTATCTATACTTTCATAAATATTCCTTTACTTGATCTTGTTTTTATAGTACAGTTATTCGTATTAACACCATCTCATGGATGACAAAACTTTGGGTTAGAATAGTAAGAGATGTACCTAGGGACATATAGCTAAGTAGTGGCTCATTAATGTACAAACAATTGAAAAGTATATTCCAGTAAAAGGAAAATTCTTTGCTATAGCTACTTAGTAGCACTGGCAAATATTCTCAAGAAAGTATTCTTTAAAAAAATTTTTTTTAATGTTTTATTTCTGAGAGACAGAAAGAGAGAGAGAGAGAGACAGACAGACAGACAGCGTGACCAGGGGAGAATCAGAGAGAGATGGAGATATAGAATCGGAAGCAGGTTCCAGGCTCTGAGCTAGCTGTCAGCACAGAGCCCGACGCGGGGCTTAAACCCATGAACCGTGTGATCATGACCTGAGCTGAAGTAGGATGCTTAACTGACTAAGCCACCCAGGTGCCCCAAGAAAGTATTATTTTTTGAAAGTGTGTATGTCCTTTGTCAGAAAGGAATAGCTGAAAAAACTTCAGCTAGAACTGAAGTATTTAAAAAATTGGTTCCATAAACAAATATAATCAAGTGAGATTTAAAAAATATTTACACACATGGGACTTGACTAGGTCTCTATCTTCTAAGACATTACATTTTAAAAGACAGCAGCAACCCAAATAAAATAAAAGTGGAAATAAAAATACAATCTTAACCCAACAAACTGCCAAAACCACATGCTTTTTGTGCAATGCAGAATTAGGTATATGTCAAGAGAGTGAAAAGACAAGCCATAGACTGGGAGAAAATATTTGCTAAAGACATACCTGGTAAGTACTGTTATCCAAAATATACAAAGAACTCTTAGAACTCAACAGTAAGAAAATAAACAACTCAATTAAACAATGGGCCAAAACCTTAATAGACACTTCATCAAAGATGATATACAGATTGCAAATAAGCACATGAAAAGATGTTCCACATCAAATGTCATCAGAAAAATGCAAATTAAAACAACAGTGAGATACCCCCTAAATACCTATTAGAATGGTCAAAATCCAGAATGCCAAATATTGGCACAGGCATGGACTGACAGAACTCTCATTCACTGTTGGTGGAAATGCACAATGGTACAGCCACTTTTGGACAGAAAGTTTGATGGTTTCTTACAAAACTAAAAATACTTTTTTTTTTAATGTTTATTTTTGAAAGAGAGAGAGGGAGATAGAGCGTGAGTGGGGGAGGGACAGAGAGGGAGAAACAGAATTCAAGGCAGGCTCCAGGCTATAAGCTGTCAGCACAGAGCCTAACACGGGGCTTGAACTCATAAACTACGAAATCAGGACCTGAGCCGAAGTTGGACACTCAACTGACTGAGCCACCCAGGTTCCTGGAAACCAAAAATACTCTGGTCGTACAATTATGCTTCTTGGTATTTACCCAAAGTTGTAATACAACTTACGTCCATACAAACACCTGATGTGGATGTTGACAGCAGCCTTACATTTAATTGACAAAACTTGAAACCAACCAAGATGTCCTTCAGTAGGTGAATGGATGTATAAACTGTGGTATATCCAGACAATGAAATATCACTCACCAAAAAGAAATGAGCTATCAAGCATGAAAAGACTAGAGGAAACTTAATGTATATAACTGAGTGAAAGAAGTCAATTTTAAAAGTCCCCATACTATACGATTCCAACTATAACATTCTGGAAAATCCAAAACTATGGACACAGAAAAAGAGTAAGGTACAAAGTGGAGTTAACATTGTTGATGATAAGAATACAGGTGATTTTGATGAATGCAAAAACAAAGAAGTACTGTGGCCATCCTAACTACTTACTTTTTGACTTTATCATAGTTTACTTGACGGTAGTCACCTTGCTGAATTAACTGTTTTGTGTCAGCTAATTCTAAGGCCAAACGTTGACATCTAATTTGAAGTTCAGAGTAATTTCTTCTATCTTCATCATAAGACTGTAAATGAAAACAATAATAAAACATTTAAGCTAAATATACTTGACCAAATTCTTTAAATTTTTTTAACATTTACTTATTTTTTGAGAGACAGAGAGAAACAGTGTGAACGGGGAAAGGACAGAGAGAGGGAGACACAGAATCCAAAGCAGGCTCCAGGCTCTGAGCTATCAGCACAGAGCCCAATGCGGGGCTTGAACTCACAAACTGTGAGATCATGACCTGAGCCGAAGTCAGCCGCTTAACCAATTGAGCCACCTAGGCACCCCATTGACCAAATTCTTTAATGAACTCTTCTGTTATGCTGTAAATGTTCTTGCAATTAAAAAAAAAAAAAATTCAGTTCTTCTGTGTAGTAATTATTTTCCCTACTTGAAAACAAATGATCTTAAACTGACAGAGTAGTTTGTGAGTTTGCTTATTTGGTTTTCATTGAAAAAATTGGGCAACTATGCTTTGGTTATTAGACTAACACATGAAATGAGTATACCAGTGTTACATGGCTTTTTTGTTTGAGTATCTATTAGACGCTAAGGACACAGAAATAAATAAAACACAGCCGCTGTTCCTGAGGAGCTCACAACTTAGAGATGAAGGGTCACCTGAGTATCAAATATCTACAATGAAAGATAGTTACTGAAGAGATTAATCATGTAGTTTCGGCTGTGGTACTCAGCAAAATAAGGAATTTTGTGGCATTTGGCAAGTATTTCCACATCAATCTTCCTTTCACCCACCAGACCAGCAGAAAGGCATTACAGAGCTGTAGGAGAGTGGTAGAAGGGAAAATCGTCAAAAACCACAACCTAGCCTGGCTTACCACAAACCTCATATCTCACATTTCTTATATTCATGTATCACCTTCCAACCCTAATGAAGAGCTGAGGTTTTTAACATACATGCTTCCTCTAACCTATTCTCACCGCCTAAAGAGTGAGAACTTATTTGCCTCTTCCAGAGTGCCAGTTTCACTGTAGCATCAGATTCCTTTTCTATATACCTCACCAGAGTATAAATGTCTTAAGGGCAGGACTTTTCTTATCCGCCACTGGATCTCCATCACTTTACAAAGTATTTAGTATACCGGAAACATCAAATCAGTGCTTTTGAACAAATTAGGAAATAAATGAATATGGAAATGGAGGTAAAACAAAACACAGGGACAGAGTTCCTCCTTATTTCTGCCCTTGAACTTATCAGACCTTACAAGCAATCAGATCTCAACTCCACCCCCAGAACCTGTCATGATAAATGTATCCTATTCCAAGTCATTCTTTAGTAGCAGACCAGGTGGTCACACTCATTCCACAAATAATGACTGAATTATTTCTATACGACCGGTCCTAGACGAGGTACTGTAGATACAAAGATGAGTAAGATATTGCTTTTGTCCTTTTTAAACTATTAAACATAACTTTGAAATGTTAGCTCCCAAATTTCTATCCAAGGGCTGTTTGAGAAATGCATTATGAAAAACTATACATGGTGTGTTTTGTTTTGATATAATATTATATTCTGGTACTGACAAGCTCATCATAAGGCTGGAATGTTACTATAGTATTTATTACAGGATCATAACTGAAGATACTCTACAATCTCCCCTAAGGATCATCACATACATCATTTCAGGCCTAAGTCCCAGAAGACACTTTAGTTCCCCTGAAGAATGCTCTACCATTCTCAGGGCGCCTGGGTGCCTCAGTTGGTTAGGCGTCCGACTTCGGTTCAGGTCATGATCTCACAGTTCGTGGGTTCAAGCTCCACGTCGGGCTCTGTGCTGACAGCTAGCTCAGAGCCTGGAGCCTGCTTCGGTTTCTGTGTCTCCCTCCTTCTCTGACCATCTCCTGCTTACGCTGTCTCTCTCTCTCAGAAATAAGTTAAAAAAAAATGTTAAAAAATAAAGAATGCTTTACCCTCCTTTTTTTTTTTTAATGTTTTATTTATTTCTGAGAGAGAAAGAGAGACAGTGTGAGCGAGGAGGGTCAGAGAGAGGGAGATACAGAATCTGAAACCGGCTCCAGGCTCTGAGCTGGCAGTCAGCACAGAGCTCGACGTGGGGCTCGAACCCATGAACTGTGAGATCATGACCTGAGCTGAAGTTGGATGCTCAACCGACTGAGCCACCCAGGCGCCCCTACCCTTCTAAATACTACTAATCATGTGACTGTTGTGGAACACTGTACAATGTTACAGTTAGAAAGGCAAGCTCCAGAATTCAACTGGCTAGAGTTGAATTATCTGCAGTAAGATTTTGGGCAGTATTCAGAGTCCTCATCTACCTCACAGTGTTGACTATATCAAGTAACACATGTAAAGTGCTTATAAAAATGGCTAACAAACAGTAAATAGTCATTAACTATAAATTAATACAATACTTCACTATTACTTTGGCTTCTGAGAGATTAGAGCCAAAATGATAGCTCAACTTTAAAAACTTCACAAAGACCGAACAGAATCCTGGAGGAATGTGAACATTTTAAGGTTGGTGAGAAGGCAAAGAGCAGAAGGCACCTGAGGGAGTACTCACAGAAATAAAGGGTAAGTTGGGTGTGTGTGTCAAGAACAAGCGCAGGAGACTCAGTAGCCAGTAGTGGTGAGTACCACCGAGGAACAAACCTAGTAAACAAGCCTCCCACGTATTCAGGGACAGAGACAGAAGACTGCCACAGACTAATGCAAATGTATCTGAATACTCAGTGTGTTCTTGTTTTGTGGTATTCTTAAAACACGCTTATTGATTTTTGAGACAGACAGAGCATGAGTGGGGAAGGGCCAGAGAGAGAGGGGGGATCAGAAGATACAAAGGTTTTGCACTGACAGCAGTCAGCCCAACATGGGTCTCGCATCTACAAACCATGAGATCATGTCCTGAACTGAAGCTGGCTGGTCAACCAACTGAGGCATCCAGGAGCCCTGAGTTCTGTGCAATTTTTTATGCATTCTTTCACTTAATACTTAATGTTATGTCTGGGTATAAATATTACCCACATTTGATACACGAAGAAACTGAGACTTAGAGAGTAGAAAAGTCTCAAATCTCACAAAGAATAGAGTAACTTTGTCCAACAGTAAATTTGCATGGAATTCTCTTCTGTTAAAAAATAAAAGTGAGCAGGTACCTGAGTTGCTGCATCAGTTAAATGTTCAATTCTTGGTTTTGGCTCAAATCATGATCTCACAGTTCGTGAGTTCAAGCCCCGTGTCAGGTTCTGCACTGAGAGCATAGACTTGCTTAGGAATTTCTCTTCCTCTCTCTCTCTTTCTGGCCCTCCCCAGCAATCTCTCTCTCTCAAAATAGAAAAAATATACTTTAAAATAAATGAGTAACAGTAAGAAAGTGCAGTAGCTAGAAAAGAAAATAGGGATGAACGAAGGTTTTAAGATAAACCTGAAAATGTTCAAATATTAGTAGGAGAGGATAAATATCAAAAGAGGGATGGAAACTGAAGAAAACAGGAACAAGCACAAGGTACAGCCCTAAGAAGGCACAGGGAACAGGATCTAGAGCTCAGTTGTAGAGATTAATCTTGGATCAGCAGACATGCTCAATGTGACAGGCTTTTTTTGAAGATGACAGTATTAAAAACAAATCTGATGACCTTAGATAGCTTTTACTTTAATCTCAAAACTTTTTAATTATAATTACTAGGGACTAGCAGAAGCCCTTGTTAGGGAGTTATATATGTATTGCTCATTTTATAATTAATTAATTTACATTCAAGTTAGTTTATAGTGTAATAATGACTTAAAGAATAGAATTTAGGGATTCATCACTTACATACAATGCCCAGTGCTCACCCAACAAGAGTCCTCCTTAATTCCCCTCACCCACTTAGCCCATCTCCCCAACACCCCACCACCAACCCTCAGTTTGTTCTCTGTATTTAAGAGTGTCTTGTGGTTTGTTTCCTTCTCTGTTATCTTTTTTGCTACTCTTCTCTTATGTCCACATATGAGTAAATCCACATATGACTGGATATCCCCATATGAATAATATCCACATACGAGTAAATATCCACATGAGTGAAATCATATAATATTTGTCTTTCACTGACTGACTTATTTCGCTTAGCACAATTCACTCTAGTGTATCCACATTGTTGCAAATGGTAAGATTTCATTCTTTGTGATTGCCGAGTAATATTCCAGTGTGTGTGTGTATACGTGTACCACATCTTATCCATTCATCTGTCAGTGGACATTTGGGCTCTTTCCATACTCTCCCTTTTGTCATAGTGCTGCTATAAACACTGGAGTGCATGTGCTTCTTCAAAACAGCCCTCCTGTACCTTCTGGATAAATACCTAGTAGTGCAATTGCTGGGTCATAGGGTAGTTCTATTTTTAATTTTTTGAGGAACCTCCACACTGCTTTCCAGAGCGGCTGTACCAGTTGGCACTCCCACCAAGAGTGCAAAAGGGCTCCCCTTTCTCCATATCCTCGCCAACATCTGTTGTTGCCCGAGCTGCGAATTTTAGCCATTCTGACAGGTGTTAGTTGGTATCTCATTGTGGTTTTGATTTGTATTTCCCTGATGCTGAGTGATGTTGAGCATCTTCTCCTGTGTCCGTTAGCCATCTGGATGTCTTTGGAAAAGTGTCTATTCACGTCCTTTGCCCATCTCTTCACTCCATTATTTGTTTTTTGGGTGTTGAGCTTGATTAAGTTCTTTATAGGTTTTGGAGACTGACTTTTTATGTGATATTTCATTTGCAGATATCTTCTCCCATTCTGTCAGTTGCCTTTTACTTTTGCTGATTGTTCCCTTCACTGTGCAGAAGCTTTTTATCTTGATGAGGTCCCCGACATTGATTTTTGCTTTTATCAAGAAAGATAGAGTATCATGTCATCTGCAAAGTGTGAAAGTTTGACTTCCTCCCTGCTGACTTGAATGCCTTTTATTTCTTGGTGTTGTCTGATTGCTGAGGCTAGGACTTCCAACACTATGCTGAACAGCAGCGGTGAGAGTGAACATCCTCGTCGTGTGCCTGGCCTCTGGG